CTTCCTACTTAGCCTGCAGCATCGTCGGGTACTGGCGGGAGACCCACCGGGGGGCACCGGTGGGGCCTCCCTCCCTCCCCTAGATCCTGCTCCCCTCCTACTGTCCTCATGGCGTCCAGGAATTTTGTAGAAAATTTACAAAAAACTTTTAAAAATTTTTACAGAACAATATCATGTCGAAAGTCTGACACCCCAGTGCTGGAAACCGGGTCCAGCGTCCCTTGTCCCGAGTACAGCATCCCTGCCTACCCTGGGGTGCGTCCCATGCCCCAAGTCTATCTAAGTCTTCCGCTACGCTATCTTGTACTTTGTACTGAGAGGTCGGTTCTTGTTCTGGTCTGCACCGTTACAGTATGCAACATTTTGGTATCGGAGCGGACCTCTCATTCAAAGGACCCGCTCAATCAAGTAGCCAGCTTGCTTGATCTATTGATTACTCATTAGTAAATCAAGTAGGACTTCGTCAAATCTCTGAATTTTTTTATTTTTTATTTTTATTTTTCTCGCAACAACTATCTGAAAATTTCTGATAATCGCATTTCGTTTCACCTGAAAATTTCTGATATTAGTATTTCGTTTTCACGCAACAAATATCTGAAAATTTCTGATAATCGCATTTCGTTTTATCTGAAAATTCCTGATAGCAGCATTTCGTTTCTCTGATATTTCGCATACATAGCTGAAAATTTCTGATGTTAGCATTTCGTTTTCTAGGCATATTAGGATAACGATAGAAGTGGTCATATTCTCGGAAACTGGATTTATTCTTTTCTGAAAATCGAATTTCCATTCTATCTCGCAATTTTTTTTTGAAAACCGAAATCTTGCGAAGCCTACCAACATTTCGTTAGGCATATTCGAAGGTTGCCATACTCTCAGAAACTGGATTAAGTTCTTTTCTGAAAATCGCATCTCTACTCTATTTCGCAAATTTTTTTTTTCAAGGTCGTATTTTGTGAAAGCCGAAACTTTGCGGAACCTAGCCTAGATCTCGCTCATAGTACTCTTCTAACATGTCTCACTCATGACAGATCGACAGATATACAAAAAAAAAAAGAAAAAGGAAGTAGTCCTCTTTTACTTTTTATTTTTTATCTGTTGATTAGGGTCGGGAGGAAAGCATTGTTGGGTTGGTTCCCTACCTGCATTTTCCCTCCCACCCACCCCTTTGCATGTATTTCCGAGTTGGTACAGTGCCACGTCAGCAGTGCCACGTCAGCAACAGTGCCATGTCAGCAGTGCCACATCAGCACGTCAGCAGTGCCACGTAAGCAGTGCCACGTAAGCAACAGTGCCACAGTGCCACGTCAGCAGTGCCCCGTCACCATGACGGGCTCAGTTCTTGGCATGCCAGGCCAACTGGCAAATGAGTCCATTTCCGAGTACTGTCAGCGTTTTGAAACACAGCTCGCACTAATCGCGACTGAGGAACAGCGCCAGCTGGCAGCCGAGGCTGTCCGCCTACAGGCTGAAGCGGCGACAACAGCTGAGAAGCAGCGGCTTCAGGCCGAAGCAGACGCAGATACCCAGGCATGCCGCAAGGAAGCCCAGGATCTGCTACAATGGCATGAAGCCACCAGCATCGAAAAGCTCAAGTTTTGGCACTTTGAACCCTCCGAGGGGCACAACGATGCAACACCGGAGGAGCAGCACAAGGAATTCATGGCCAAGCTCGTGACCCGGTTGGTCTACACTTGTAACCATCTGCAGTCCGAGTTGGCGAACCTCCAGTGGGCCGTACGGAATCACAAGGATCAGCATGAGGATGCAGCACGGGCACTCGATTCCCGTGTATAGGACTTGGAGCAAACTGCACCAAGACCGGAGGCTGGTGAGTCCAGCAGTGCATCCTCTGCCCGCCAACTGGAGGAACGCGTCGATCACGTAGTGGCAATGCTAGGTGATATTAGCACCTTCGCAGCACCAGCCACCATCAGCTAGCAACTGGACACACTGAAGACCGAGATCAGGCAGCGACAACAACCGTCTGACCCTGATCGCAGCACCAACACGGCAAAGCATTCCAAGATGCCGACTTTCCGGATCGAGAAGTTCGATGATTACACACATCAAGACCCGGTCGTCTGGTGGCAAGGATTCACAACGCAGTTGGGGATTCATGAGGTCCCCGAACATCTGTTCATCGGCGCGCTGTTCCTTAGCGCCAAGGGAGGATGCCAGATCTGGCTCAGCCATATGGCAACCGTTCACGGCGTCCAGGTCTTCGACCTACACAAGAAGGTCTCCTATCTGACTAAGGAATGGAAGACGCGGTTCATCGTTGACGACGCCTCGACGCTCGCCATCAACCGCATTTTCACGGTGGCTCAAGGAAACACAGCGACACGTGATTGGCTCACGGATTGGCAGAAGATCGTGGCGACACCCGATCTGGACTTGCCATTTCCGCATCTGCGCCGGGAGTTCTACAACCGGTCATGCGCCGCTTTGAGCCTCGCACTTGGTGATCGCGAGCAGTACAACACCTTCGCTGAAATCATCAACAAGGCGAGGGAGATCATCAAGACAAACATGGCAACTGCACATGAGAAATCAGCATGGCAGCCAACCTATGTGGAGAAGGTGAGAACTGGTCCGCGACCGCAGCATGTCGCTGCGGTCCAATCGGACAACATTGTGGAAGACCCGGCAACCACCCAAGCGTCACGTGAGGGAGATCAGGTGGCTGCTGATCAGCCGCGAAGCAACAACAAGTCCCGAGGAAACGGGAAGGCGAAAACCGCATCGCCGGCCGGAAACGGACAGCCAGCACCATGGGTCAAGTTTCATTTGACCGAGGCGGAATACAAGTGGCGCGGCCGCTACGGCTGCTGCTATTGGTGCAACAACACCAAGCACAAGACCTCCCAATGCCCGGATCAAGGCAAGGAGGATGTTCGGCCTCGTAGTATCAACTCGGGAAACTGAGTTCCACGGGAGGTGAGGCGACTCCACCTCTCACTCCGCCAGATTCGGCCGCCTTGCTAGCAGCCTCTTACACATCTGGGGAGGATGCGAATGTCGCAAGTCCTCGGTACACTTACGAAGACTATGCTGTCCACTTGGTCCCACCGTTGGACCAACCGCTCCACGTGCAACAATCTACCGCATGCACGGTTTCATCACCATCGGCAACCGATTCGGCAGCTTCGCCGCCATCTATCGCCGGGGATTCAACGTCATGGTCAAGACTTGAAGAGCTCGACCCGTTGACATTTGCGGACTTCCAATGGATGCCCCTTTCCCGGTATGGTCGATTGCCGAAACCACATTGCAACGTGCTCATGGCACAATTGCGGGATTACTTGCACACTGCTGTACCAACTATGTTGATGGACGCCGGAGTAGAGGTTGTCGACGTTCACGCCTACATTGCTAAGATCGACCGCGAGTTCAAGACACAACGATACAACGACATCGATGCACCATTGTTATATGTACGCATTCAGATCGGAGAGGCGACCTGCAGCGCTTTGATCGATTGCGGAGCATCTCGCAACTACATCAGCCAGGACTTCATGGTACGCGCCGGCCTTGGCCTACGTGTCCGGAGGAAGTCCCAGCCTACGCAAGTCACGTTGGCAGACGGTCACACGCAGAAGTCAATTGACCGGTACATAGGTGACGTCCCCGCGTACTTTGCCCCGCATGTAAGCGAGGCGGTGTCCTTCGATATTTTGGACACCAAATTCGACATGATCTTGGGCATGTCATGGCTGCGAAGTGAGGATCACCCGGTGAACTTCTACCGCCGCACCGTTCACATCCGTGATCGGAACGGAGCACTAGTCTCATGCACGGTAGCTCCTCCTCACCCTTCGATCAGCTGCCACGTGGTGTCCGCCACAAGCTTGCGAGCTTCCATCATCAGAGACGACATGGAGGAGATGGGGGTGTGTTTTCTCCACACCCTCCTGCCCCATGACGCTTCATCGACGGACTCATCTTCGAACCCACGCATCACCGAGCTTCTCGACGCCTACGACGACGTGTTCGAAGGCCCGCACAGAGTAGTACCGGATCGGCCCATCCGCCACGAGATCATCCTTGAGGACGGGGCCGTACCTCCACGCGGTTGCATCTACCGAATGAGTGAGGAAAAGTTAAGTGTGCTACGGGCACAACTCGACGACCTTCTGGAGAAAGGTTGGATTCGGCCTAGCTCATCGCCATACGGTGCTCCTGCTCTCTTCGTCCGGAAAAAGAACAAGGATTCGCAGTTGTGCATCGATTATCACAAGCTCAACACGCAAACGATCAGAAACGCCGACCCTCTTCCACGCATCGACGACCTTCTCGAACGGCTGGGCGGCGCCAAGTTCTTCTCCAAGCTTAACCTCAAGTCGGGATATCACCAACTCAAGATTCGGTAGGAGGACCGCTACAAGACTGCGTTTAAGACGCGATATGAGCATTTCGAATGGCTGGTTATGCCATTTGGCCTTACAAATGCCCCGACCACTTTCCAAGTGGCTATGACAACGGAGTTCCGACACATGCTGGATCGATTCGTACTTATCTACCTCGACGACATCCTCGTGCACAGCTGGAGTTTGGACAAGCATGTGGAACACCTGCGCACCGTCTTGGAGCGGCTACGACAAGCCAAGTACAAAGCCAACCGCGACAAATGCGAATTCACGCGGCAGGAGTTGGAGTACTTGGGACATTATGTGACGCCGCAAGGCATCCGTCCGCTTGCGGACAAGATCGAGGCTCTCCGCGTATGGCCCGAGCCCACCAACACCACGGATGTTCGTTCATTCATGGGGTTGGCAGGCTACTATCAGCGATTCATCACCAGATACTCAAGGATTGCTGCACCTATGACGAGATTACAATCGCCAAAGGTGCCATTCGTATTCGATGACGACGCACGCCGGTCATTCCAAGCACTTAAGACGGTCATGCTCATGGCACCTGTCCTTAGCATCTATAACACACCCTGCCTACGAGAGTGACAACTGACGCTTCCAGCTACGGCATTGGGGTAGTCTTGGAACAACACGACGGCGACGACTGGCACCCTGTGGAGTATTTCAGCCACAAAATGCCTCCCATCAATTCTCTTGATGATGCAAGGAAGAAGGAGCTGCTCGCGTTTGTGATGGCTCTCAAGCGATGGCAGCACTTCCTCCTTGGGCGTCGTAGGTTCACATGGGTCACGGACAACAACCCATTGACCTACTACAAGACGCAGGATACGGTGAGCAGCATGATCAGACGATGGATGTACTTCATCGACCAATTTGACTTCACACCAAAGCATCTCCCCGGCCTCTCCAATCGCGCAGCAGATGCACTCTCGTGAAGACCTGATCTTTGCGCCATGATACATCATGCCTTCACATTCGACGAGGAACCTCAGCGACACTTCATCCGGGGCTATGAGTCTTATCCGGACTTCGCCACGTTGTATGCGCAACTATCTTCGGATTACCCACCGGCCAACCACTATCGCATTGCCGACGGGTACTTGCTCCTCCACTCGAGAGGTAAGGACTTATTGTGTGTCCCACGAGACCGTCGTCTTCGGACTCGCCTTCTCGGGGAGTACCATGACTCGCGACTCGCCTGCCATTTCGGAGTCAACCGCACTATTGCACGACTTCGACAACGATTCCGATGGACCGACCTCATTACCGATGTCACTCGGCATTGCGACTCTTGCAAAGTATGCCGATGAAGCAAGCCCCGCAATCGCAATCCCTACGGCAAGCTGCGCCCGATGCCTATGCCACGGGAACCCGACCTCTCCATTGCCATGGATGTCACCGGACCATTTTCCGCGATCGCCTCGGGCACGGCGACATGCTCACGGTTGTGGACCGCAGTTTGAGTAAGTATGCACGTTTTCTCCGTTGCAAGTACTACTCCACGGGTCCCGAGCTGGCCCGCCTCTTGCACACCGGTTGGATTTGTGGCCACGGTGTACCGGAAGACATAGTCAGCGACCGCGACACTCGCTTCATGTCGACATTTTGGACTGCTCTCATGCAAGAGTTCGGCACGAAGATGAAACCAAGTTCGGCTCGGCATCCACAGACGGACGGGCAAACGGAGCGGGCACATCAAACCGCTCAAATGATGCTTCGTACGCTCATCCGTCCGGACCAGAAAGATTGGGTTGACCGCCTCCCCGACATCGAGTTCGCCTACAACACTTCGGTGCACCCGGCGATCGGCGTGACTCCATTCGAGTTGCACCACAGTGGACGGAAAGTCCGTATCTTCGTCGACCTTTTCCTCCCACGACCAGCCGACAACGACGCCGCTTGCTCCCCCACTTCCGTTCGGAAGTATAGGGAATTGCTGGCTCAAGCCCGCGCAAACATGCAAAAGGCTCAAGTCTGCATGCAGCAGCAAACCAACAGGGGTCGCGTGCCATGTCCCATCCGTGCCGATGATCTGGTTTGGGTCTCCACGGAATAGTTTGCACTGGAACATGATGTTTCACGCAAACTGCTTCCCAAGTGGTTTGGACCATGGCCCGTAACATCAGCCGCGGGCGATAAGCCCGATGACCCTTCATTTGTGATCAACATTCCAGAGCATCTGACGGTCCATCCGGTCTTCCACGCCTCGAAGCTGGCAGCATATACACCAGCTAAGAGCGACGACTTCCCGGGTGGACGATCGCAGGACCTTCCATCTATGGATGGTCATCAAGAAGTTGACCGTGTCATCACGGATCGCAAGTACGACAGCAAGCCTCGCCAGTACAAAGTTACATTCAGAGCATGCGATCCCGACGACACTCGGTGGATTTCAGGAACAGATTTGAAAGCATCCGCACCACTGATCTACGCTCACTACGAGCGACAAAGGTTAGCTCGGGGATCTTCACGACCTGCCCCTCCCACCCGGACTGTGGTCCCTCCCTCAGACAGACATCTTCGCCCTCGCAGGTAAGCTCGGTGTTTCAAGGAGGGGGGGGTGTGGCATACTGTGTAGCCACACGGGCCAGCAGGGCCCATCCCGCATTCCCAGCCTAAAAGCCTAGAAATAAGGGCTTACAGGCCCCTATCGTTTCAACTTGAAAGACTGAAAAACGAGGGCCTAAAGGCCCTATGTCGTTTCAGCCTAAAACAGGGCTTTTCAGCCCTGAGGCTTTTCAGCCTGAAACGGAGGGCCACTTTCGGGCCCTCATAAGATCGACCTGTCCTAACACTCAGGCACAAAACCAGGGTTTCGGGAACAGGCTATCTTTAGCCTATTCCCACGACAATCTCAAGCAGGAGCTGCAGCGGTAGCCCCTGACTCCCTGCGGCATTGGCAAGAGCAACCTCCTGGACTGCCTCGCCCTGCAGTCAGGAGGCAGGCCGAGAAGTACATAGGGATTTCCCGTGCACTTCACGAGTAGGTAGTTGAACAGTAGGCAGGAGTAGTCTTCAGGATTCGGCCGCAGCACTCAGGAGGACCGCTGCAGGAGCAGCTTAGCGCTAGCAATAGTCTTCAACGTTGGGCGCTAGTAGCCATAGCAGTAGTCTTCAGCGCTGGGCGCTAGTAGGTGGTAGTAGTAATGTTGGGGAGAGATGGCTGGCGGAGGCCAGTGAGACTTACCTGTGGCGCCATAGCTCCCGCTCCATCTTCGAGGTACCTGCATCAAGGCGCCAACTTCACAGGTTAGTACCGGACTGAGAGAGAGAAAGAGAGAGTTCTTCTTCTTCCTCTTCTAAGTCCACCATCTCTTCTTCCCCTCTCATCACCTGACTTCTCAGTATCAGCGGACTACGACAGAGAGAGAGAGTTGTGACTTGAGACTTGACGACATTGGATCCAGACTCGACTTTGGGATTCAGACATTTTGACGAGGGACTATTTGGGCCTGTGCCGAAGACTTGGTGTTGACGACATTCCCATCTTCCCCTCTTCT